GAGTTGTTAAAAGTGATAAATTTTCCTGGTTGTAAAAACATTAAAAATTTACATGCTACTTTTCCATTAACTTCATGTGAATGTGAGTGGATATATTAATCATTTTGGTGCCTGAAATATATATGTTAAACACCCTGGTATAGTGCCAAACAATAATAACATCGATTTGGTGTTATTGTTTCTATATATAAAATGCTATGTTGTATTTGTTATATTGGCAAATGCTTTTGTTTTTTTAATTGATTTTTTTCAGTTTTTATGTATTATCATCAAGATTTATTAAAATAAATGTTTTAATTTTGTTTGTTTTTTTAACAAAATGTGGCATTAAGAATGCATCCTAAATACCTCTTTATTTAATTTAAAATTGCCTATTTAATATACAAATATTTTATTATAATTTGTGTTATTTTATAATATATTTATTAAAATATAAATATGAAATTTTGCATTGTGTAATTTATTTTATTAATGGTAATGTGAAAATATAGTTTTTACTAATAGATCTGTAAATAATGTGTAAATATATAATTTTATAATCTAAAAGTAAAGTACCCCAGTGATAACCTTTTATATTTTTGATTGAAGAATGGCTCTTATTAGATTAACTTAATAGACCTCTATTAATAATAGACCTCGGTTAATCTTGATATATTAACGGAAGAGGTCTTCCATGGTGGGGTGTATGTATTCTTTTGCTTTTCAACTAACGACTTCAACTAACTAACGATATATAATCAAAGTGTTATTATAATTATATAGACTTTATCTTCATATAAAAACTTTATCCAAACTCATATAAAAATTTATATGAATTTACAGTATACACAAGTTTTGCATTTTTATATAAAGTATGGAAAAATTGTGTATACTGCAAATTCTTATAAATTTTTGTAAAATTATACATATTTTTATAGCAAAAAAATCTTTTAATGTTTTTACTTTAATTACATTAATACTTTTATTAAAATTTTTAAAGAACTTTCCCACGCACAAAATCCTTAAAATCCTTCTTTAATATTTCAAAGCAAAGTAGAAATTATCTACATTCTTATTTCAAAGTAGACGCTGTGTCAGACATTCTTTTTCGCAACAAGTTAAATCTATTTATCAGGCTCTTAAACAACCCCATATGTTACTCGATTATACGGACTCAGATGCCTTTAATGAATCAACGATCATTTGTGGGTGAGGTAATGATAATGTGTAAGAAAGCTGATATAAACATGCTCCAATTTATGATCGAGGGTAAGAAAATTATAATTGCACGCCCTCAGGAAGCATTGGAGGCCAATGTTGCGGCGATCTTAAAACAATCGTTCCAACACTGGAATTTAAAGGAACAAAGAGAAGTATTTAGAACGCTGATGGAGGAAAACATTCCAAGAACGATGCAAGAAAATACTTAAATGTGCTTTGTTTTTTTTTTTTAATACTTTTACCTATAGTTTATGTAATTATTGGGTGTTTAAAAGAATAAATATATAAATATATGTGAAATACTAAATTTTATTTTAATTAAGAATTATTAGTACATTTGCGTCGGCTAACTCTCGTATCTAAATTTCAACCTAATTTCATCGTAATTTCAACGTTTATTTTTCAACGTTAATTCAACGTTTGTTTCTAATTAAAAATCAACGTTGAATCAATGTTGAAATTTCAACGTTTTTTTCTTAACGTTGAACTAACGTTGAAATAACGTTGAAATTTAGATCGTTGAAATAACGTTATGTCCTTGCTGGGTAACGACGCAAATCGCAGCAAATAACGTCGACATAATTGTTGACAAATGAAAATGGGAATGTATAGGAAGAGAAAAAAGTCAAATAAATGCGGTAGTTTGAAGGCAAATTCAGTAAACAGGTTGAAAATAACGAGAAAGTTTATTTCTAGAATAGATTTGTAAGTCAACTCACATATATAATTTAACATGAAAATAAACCCATTTAGCAGTCTTCCCCTTTATAAAGTTTGTTTGAAAGATAACAACTTGGCTTAATTGTTTATTATAAAAGTTGTAATAGAGATATTTTTATTTATACTTTTTTTGTTGATGCATGTTTGTTTGTTTTTTAATATTTTTAAGATTTGAATCTTTTAAATAAAACCAAATAGTATCTCAATAAGTGTTGGCAATGTTATAACATTTTTAGTTTAAAACACCTTTTTGGCCACAGATTATTTAAAATTGGCCTTTGGTTCTTTAAGGTTGCTAGAGAAAATAGTTTCCCTAACATTTTAAATGAAATTATTATCAAACAAAGAGTTCCTAAGAAACAAACCAAAAATGTCTTGACTTTTCCACAGAGACCAGAGTTTTCATTGTTAGGAGCCATAGTTTTTTAGTTTTGTTAAAAATAACTTTAGCTAAAGTGTGTTTCTTTCCACTTAAACCTTTTTCAATTTTTATCAAAATCTGTATAAGTGGGTATTGAAAGGTAAGGTTTTAATAAAAATGAAAGATATAAGAATGTAATAAGGGAAGCAGATTGGTGTTTACAACATCAAATAATACAATGGTCAATATAGAAGCAGACATTAGCAACAAAATTGTATTTACCAATGGTTACATTAGCAACAAAATAAATACATCTGCAAAATTAAAAACAAACATGGTACAAAACTTTAGTGAAAAAACATTTTGTCATTTCAAACCATTTACAGGCATTTTAGAACCTTTAGTGAAACAGAAAATAATGAACTTTAGATAAATATTATAAGCAGAATTTATGTTTAAAATTTAAAAAATGATTAAAACAAGTGTTTCATTGCCAAAAGGTTTTGCAAATCAGATAAAGGTTGACTATTGAAAAAGTAATTGAAAAATATTTGTAACAGTAATCTTATTGAGTTTCTAAAAACACTGAGAAAAAGATTTATCAAATCAGTTAAAGAAGATATCCATTGTAGGGTAATAAAAATGTTATATAGGCTGAAACTTAAGTTTTTAAATTTAAATTTCATAACCACGCTTTAGATTCTGATACATCTTATACGTATTTTTCACAACAAAATTTTAGAATTGTAAAATAATCAAAAGTTTCTCAACAAAAAGAAACATGTAATGTCAAAGTATTGTTATGTCAAGAGGAACTCATTCAAAATAGAAGAACTATTTGATCCAACATAGGGCATAGGGCAACATAATGTTAATACATTTTTGAAATGTAATGCCTTAAACGTGTACTAGTGTTTTTAAGGGTGTATAAATTTAATTTTACAATATAATATACAAGTCCGGCGCGATAGGAGGTGTGGGGGGTGTGACACCCCCCATCAATGATTTTTAGTCGGCAAATTGGACCCTTAGTCGGCAAATTGGACCCTTTTAGACTAGTTAGTCGGCAAATGTCGACCCTTTCGATATAAGTTAGTCGGTAATCTAGACAGTTGGCAAATGTCGTCATGGCAGTCGGCAAATTCTGGAAAACGAGGACCTTTTTTTTTTTAGTCGGCAAAATGTAATGACACCCCCCCCCCACGTGACGTCTACTCGCGCCGGCCCTATATATATATATATATATATATATATATATATATATATATATATATATATATATATATATATATATATATATATATATATATATATATATATATATATATATATATATATATATATATATATATATATATATATATATATATATAATAACGCAGGCCTTGATATGAGATTTTGATATTGAGGCCTTGATATGAGATTTTGAATTCAGGTTGCGCTGTTCCGTTACGCATCAAAATCTCATAACAAGGTCTGCGTTATATATATATATATATATATATATATATATATATATATATATATATATATATATATATATATATATATATTTGTTTATATATATATATAGGCGCGGATGCAGCATTTTTTGATGTTTGAGATACCTAACCAGACATTGAGCAAACTCCAAAAATTTATGTTTATACTTATATTAAATATATATGCTTTTCAAAAAATTTCGATGATTGGTATTTTAAAATACACATAATTATTCACACATAATTATTGTAACTTTATTAAAAAAAGATATTTATAAAAGATATTTATATAAAAAAGATATTTATATTATAGTTTAATTGCGTCAGTTGCGTATTTTAAAATACCTTATTGTAATTCAATTTAAAAACACATTTGAAATTTTTGTAAGTCTTTTAAATAAAACACCTTTAAATTAAACAATATTGTTATAAAAAAAAAAGTTATAAATTAAATTTTTTAAAATTTTTATTAATAAAAAAAGAATTAAAATCTTATACTTATTTACAGTTTAAATTTTAAACTTAATTTTTTTTCTTTAAAACATTCTTTTTACGGATATTTTTTTTTAATGAGTGGACACCTGTTTATTGGTTAATTTTCTTAAAGGGATTAAAGTTTACTTCTACGCACTTAGATTGGGTTTTCCCCTTTTTAAAAAACCTTTGCGTTTACTGGCTTTAGATTAAATTAAAAATGGAAGGCTTTGATTTTTTTTATTTGCATTAAAATATTTTATTTTTATGTACCGTGAAACCTAAAGTATAGTTACAATTTCTTACTAAATCCAAAAAGAAAAATAGCATTTTCGGTTATAAGATATTATAAGCAGAACTTGTTTTTAACAATACATCTTTTCACTAGGTCTATCTTGCGTTCGGCAAAATCTTAAATGTTTGGTGCGATGTTAAAGTACATAAAAATTTCGAGCAACAGAAGAAAACAATGTCGAGCCTTGTGCTAACTTGTAGAATTGCATAACTCTTATAGAGTCTCTATAACTTCATAACGCATAAAAAAAAATATATATATATATATATATATATATATATATATATATATATATATATATATATATATATATATATATATATATATATATATATATATATATATATATATATATATATATATATATATATATATATATATATATATATATATATATATATATATATATATATATATATATATATATATATATGTATATGTTTGCATGTATATGCTTAAATACATTTTTTTTAACATGTAGAAACAAAAACTATGAATTCTTTTCAACATGGATGAAATCATTAGAAATCAGCAATTTAAAATAAAATTTAGTCGCAGTATTGGAATATATTGGAAAACCCTAGGACGATGGTTATCAATTGAAGATAGTTGTTTAGATGCAATAGAGCGAGATTATGCTGGAACTGAAAATCAAGCATATGAAATGCTGAAAAAATGGACAAATATGAGTGACAATGCATCAATTGATCTGTTAACAGCTGCTTTGATAAATATGGAGAGAATAGATTTAATAAAAGAACTAGAGACATTTAAAGGTAAAACTTAATATTAATTTCCTTTTTTTTCATTATTACTATAAACATCTTTGGATATGTTTCTATAATTGTGGTTTTCATTAACATTTATTTTTATAAAAGATATCAGTACTTATCAGACAATAAACCAAAATTTTTTTCAAAAAATAACTTTAGTTTGCGCATATTTTTAAATGTCTGAGTGGAAAAATAATTGTTAAGAATAAGTTTTTTGATTGAACTTGAATTCAACACATTATGTGACCTATAGTATGACCTTTATGGAATAATATGCTATTTTTACAATTACAAAAAGTTTAATAATTAAATAAAAGGTTGAAAAATATTTTATGGTTAGTTTTTAATAGCTTTTTTTCTTTTTTTATTGCGTGAGTTAAATGGATTGTAACAAGTTATGCAGACTGTTGAATAATTTTTCAAGTCAACATATTAGTGATGTTGGTAAACTATTGCATTTTCATTCACATGTTGTTGGTTACTTATGCATTAAAATATTTGCTGTTATTATTCTTTTTAATTTTCACCCTAACATAGTTAAAATTAAAATATTACTTGTTTATATAATAAACCTTAGCAATTTCCAAGTTGCACTGTATAGATAGTGCAACTATAAATTATTACCTATAACCTAGAAATTTTTTTAATTTTTTAAAGTTATAATCTAAAAACTAAACTCAGAACCTCTCGCTTATGAAGCAAGTGTTTTACCACTACACCACTACCGCATTATACTCAAAATAATACAAAACTACATATATACTCAAAATAATACAAAACCCTCCTTTTAAACTAAAAAATATACCTCACTCAGTTAATCTTTCCAGAAATTTACCAAATGAGAAGGTAGTCAAAATGACTAATGAAGAGTTATTAACATAAACATAATGAAGTGTTGTTAAATAACATATCTTCTAGCAATCTAACTTAAAACCAGGGGTGTGGAGTAGTAAAAAAAAAGTAACGACTCCGACTCCAGTTGTTGAAATTTTTTAAGTACAACTCCGACTCCTTGAATGTTTTGTACATGCACATGCAATACCTAGAAGTTTTACTATTGGAGTCAGAGTCGCAATTTTGTTAAACGACTCCGATTCTGACTCCGCTAAAAATGTTGCGACTCCACAACTCTGACTCCACAGCCCTGCTTAAAATAAGAACCATAAATGCAAAATAGTTTAATACAATTCTTCTTTTAGTTAAAACATCATTACAAATAAAGTGGTTTTTAAACTTATTTGATAAAACATTGTAAGCAGAGCGGAAAATAAACAATAAATTTACACAACAAATACGTTCTGACAAAAAATCCAACTATTAAAAAAATTAACTGCAATTGTCTAAAAAAACATATATCCTTTACTCAAACAACATCATATACTAAGTAACTGTCATTTCCGATAAAACTAATAGTATTTTGGTCAAAAAATCATATATTGGCATAGGTGAAAGTTCCTTTAAAATTAAATAAGCCAACTATTTAAAATACCTTTAATATTTTAAAAACATTTATATTCAAAAATATGAAAATAATACTGGGCTTCAATATCAATTTTGAAGAAAAGCGAAACAATGTATATGCTGTCGAAGTGAAATTAATTACAATTAATATAAAGTACTAAAATATAATATAGAACTAAATTACTTTGGCATAATAAAAAAATTTAATTTAAACTTAAATTTAATTTAATTTTTTGCATAATATCAGTCCAACACAAAAAGACTTAATTTCAAAATCAGAAGAGAAATTTTTAAAGACTGCAATCTTCTTCATCAATTTTAACCAATTAATTAAAACTATGTGTGAAATTAATTTTAATCGTAGTTTTGAAACCACTACAGCTTACTATTATATTATACTAGTGTCATGACCTATAAAATACAGGTTTAGAGGAGTATATTTCACACCTACCTCTGTTTATACCTATATACAATCATGGCCAAAAGTTTGGAATCGCCCAATATTTTTCAACAAAAACCATGTTTTTTCTAATTTATTGCATAAAAATAAAAATAGTATAGCACCAATTCATATAATACTGCATATTAGACTAGAGTATATAGCACCTACAATGTTGAACAAATCTAACAATATAAAAAGTTGCAAAAATTTAATATTTGGTAGGATAACCGCAGTTCTTTAATACAGCCGCAATTCGACGTGGCATGCTCCAAACAATTTTCTTGCACAGTTCTGGTGTTATCTCTTTTGGCATGGAGCATTGTCTTGCTGAAATATGGTTGTTCTATGTGACTCCATGCTTGGGAGCAGCTTTTCCTGTAGAATTTCCTGATAAATCTGGGAATTTACTCTCTGCCCCTTCGGTACAAAATGTAACCGGCCGTGAAATCGAGCTGAGAAGCAACCCTACACCATTATTGACGGTGGATGTTTTACAGTAGGCACAGTGTACTTCTGAACATACCTGGATCCTTGTGGTCTTCTAACTACATGATGTCCCATATTCGGTAGTGGTAGAGCGCTCGCTTCATAAACAAGTGGTTCCGAGTTCGATCCCCACCACGTCCCTGGTAGTACCGCGCTTAACTCGTTTCTCCGCGCAGCGGCCTTGTTCGTCAAGGTTCGTGTTTCGGAGTTATAGAGTTGAGAGAGGGTTATAGCCACAAAATAAGTAGCCTCCTCGTTTGTAGTGGCCTTCTCGGCCTTGAGGAGGTGAAGTAAAATAAAAAAAAAAAAAAAAAAAATATTGTTTAAATGTGCTTTCATCAGAAAACATTACTTTCTCCCAGTCCTTCTCCTTCCAATGTTTGTGCTTTTTGCAGAAGTCCAACCTCCTCTTGCGTTGAGTGTCATTCAAGGCTGGTTTTTGGCAGGTCGTTGAGCAGGACGCTTCAGATCAATCTGCAGCACACGTCTGATCGTTCTTGTGCTTGGTAGACTTGCTTCAGCATTTCCAGGACTCAAATCATCCAGAATCCCATATGATGACAGTTTAGGATTATTCTCCACAATAAACTTGATGCGTCTTGTCAACCTTTCGGTCACTTTTTTTGATCTGCCACTTCTCCCACGTGACGAAAAATGTTCCACATAATCAAATTCTACTTAATGTCTTACTAACACAAGATTGTGATACATTTACAATTTTTGCAATATCTCTAGTTGAATTTTTTTGTTAAGCTAATATAAGAATTTGACCTCTAATAACTTCTGATAATTCCTTCTTTTTTCCCATTAAAATGATCAAAAAATGTAATTAAAACTGCTGCTTAGCTACCACAAATGGTTTAACTAAATACCGGAACAAACACAACTAAGTAGAATTAATATTTCTGACCAAGGTTCAACAAAAACACACAAAAATGAAAAGTTCACATGTGATTCTAAACTTTTGGCCACGACTGTAGTTATTTATCTATCCTCTATTTCTTTACTTTAATATTTTTGAATAAATTGTGAAAAAATAATTAAACATCGCTCCCAGAGCAAAGCTCAAAAAATCTCTCACCTCTTATGTCTATTTCGAAAGAAAAAGTCTCAACACCTTCCTTCTTTAAGAAAGAAAATCGTCTTTTTAATGTTCTAGATGCGCTGATTAATCTTATTGATTGCATAAACACTTAACAAAAGTATTTCTAACATAGATAGCAGTTGCGCGATATTTCTCAAGGCATTTTTCAAAATTTAAGGTTAAAAAAATAAAATTTTAACCATTCATCAAAACTTTATCAAATTTTCAAAGCAAAAGAGGACCGGGAAAACAGGTCACGGGGAGCTAGGTATACCGGCGTCCTATGATTCAATCGAATCCCTAATTTCAATTTAGAACCGAATATGAGAAATTTATTACACAACCAAAAATATTTACGAAAAAAATTAGAACCGAAAAAATTTCAATCGAATTTTCGATCGAAAGTCATTAATGATTTTAGAACCAAATTTCATTAAAATGGTTTACAACCGAAAGTTACACTGTTATCAAACATTGTATATATATATATATATATATATATATATATATATATATATATATATATATATATATATATATATATATATATATATAAATTAAGTGAGCGTTTTTAGAAAACGATGAGGGAAAACCAAGAATAATGAATGAAAAGGTTGCTGACCCATACCAAACCCTCAGTCGATGTAGCAGCACTCCACTGCGAGTCAGGCTATTTCTCAGTCGATGTATGTACTGAAGCTCCCAGCAGCAGGCTATTTGACGTTAAGTGAGTATGACATCATCATGCTCACCTAACTCCGCAGTATAAGATATATGTATATATATTTTAAAGAAATTTTAATTGTTTATTTTATTGTAAAAGGACTAACTGAAAAAAAAAAAATATATAGATTAAAAAAAGAAAGGATTTTGTAATTCGATCCAAATTTTTTCTGTTGTAAAATTCGGTTTAAAAACTTTCGGCGCAAGAAAGGATTTTGTAATTTGATCCTGCAATGAAAGTATACTTTTCGGTTCTAAAATTTTCGGTTGTGAAATATTTCGGTGATATTTTCGAGGATAAATATTTTCGGTTCTATCATGTGACACGGGTATATCTAATATCTATAAAACTCCAATAGTGTTTTACTTTGTATTTAAAAAAAATCAATAAAAAATTAAAAACAAATGTTCTAGTGATACGATTCAAACCACAGCGTTTTGCTTCCAAAAATCTGCAAGCTAACCACTCAGCCAGAAAGGTGTCTTTTCTAACTAAGTTTTAAAAATTATTTAAGAAACACTAGACTTTATAAAATGGAAATAAATGTTATAGTTCAAAGTTAAGGAGATGTTTGCCACAATACAATTTTCAAGTGAAAGTAAAACTGTAAAACTGTAAAAAATATGTTTTGACATTGCATATTTTATAGTTTACTTAAGTGAAATATTTGCATACACTTTTGTTTACATTTTCTTACGAAAAAAAAGTGCTGCATTTCTTTCTTGCCGTTACCTACACTGCAATGGCTGCCAAGAGTTCTGTTTCAAATCCACTCTAAAGGGCTTTACTGCTACTATTATTATTAT